TACTGCATAAACATCTCCCTTTTTATTCAAAAACAGTCATATAACGAGAGTAAGTAACTTTTCCTCCTCATAAACTAACCTAAATTACATTTTCTGTTTTGTTGAAATTACGTTAGTGTCTATGTTGGACTTAATAGTCCAAAAGAAACAGCATATTCAATATAAATATACCATATCATTTAAATATATCGTTTAAAATTGTGTCAAGTGCAGTATAATCACCTGTGTCTTGATATTTATATTATTTAAGTAAAGCTCATAAGTATATGGTGTCATTTTTACACAAATATCTGCGTTATGCTGAATGACAATAAAGTATATTAAACATATTTAAAAATATATCAATTTTTATTAAAGTTATTTCGAAATATTAATGAAGATTATTTAAATGCATGTATAATTATCTTATTTATAAAATTAGAGATACTGTAATTGGTATTTTTGTCTTTGGTGTAGAATTTATGTAATTATTTATTGATTTTATTAAAATAAATACAGATTTTGAGATGTATAACATAATGTAAATATTAAATAATTCAGTATAAATAATATATATATATCAATATTTCACACAGTTACACAAAATGTTTAAGTAAAACAGTGTGGAGTAATGTGTATATATGCTAAATTTGTTTATATATTATGTTATTATTTACTGTGACGTCTCAGCTGATGGGAGTCACAGAGCTGTGGTCTATCCTGGAGCCAGTGCGTCAGTCGGTCTCGCTCTACAGTCTGTCTGGAAAGACTCTCGCTGTGGATCTCAGTCTGTGGGTCTGTGAGGCTCAGCATGTGCAGGGCATGATGGGAAGGGTCACGAAGCCGCATCTCAGGTCGGTCTGAAATCTCAAGATCACTTATGAACTGTTATCAGTTACTGAATATAAATTACACAACAACATTTGTAGTCTGTAATAAAATATTACACATTTATGGTAATGTAATACAAACGTTGATTACATTTAGATTACTTTTCTGCTAATTTGAGGTCATACCAGACGTATGCTAAAGTATGGTAGACATTTATGGTACTCAGGTCTCGCAAAATCAACAATCTTTTTTAATCAAGCTACCAAAATCTATCTACATTTTGCCCAGCGGGCTATCTAGATGGCCGGGTGCATGATGTAGATAGATTCTGGTAGCCCAAATGAAAAAACAATAGCCCCAGGAATTCGGGCTACCAGATTTTGCAAGCCCTGGTACTGTAATCTGACTACTTTGGATTACATTTAGATTACTTTTCTGCTAATTTATGTCATACCATGTGTACGGTAAATTATGGTAGACATTTATGGAAAGTAATCTGAGTATTTCTGGATTACATTTAGATTACTTTTGTGCTAACACTAATTTGATGTCACATACTGTATGTATGGTGTGGTAAAGTGTTGTAGACATTTATGAAGATGTAATCGAGGTACTTTAGATTACATTTAGATTTCTTTTGTGCTAATCTGAGTTCATACTTTGCGTATGGTAAAGTATAATAGAGATTATAGTTACGCAATCGGACTACTTTGAATTACGTTAGATTACTTTTCTGCTAATTTGATGTCATGCCATACATATGAGAGATTTTTATGATAAAGAAATCTGACTACGTTTGAGTTACATTTAGATTACTTTTGTGCATACCATTCATACGGTAAATTATGGTAGGCATTTATGGAAAGTAATCTGAGTATTTCTGGATTACATTTAGATTACTTTTGTGCTAACACTAATTTGATGTCAAATACAGCATGTATGGTATGATAAGTATGGCAGACATTTATAGAGATGCAATCTGAGTACTTTTTGGATTACATTTAGATTACTTTTTTGCTAATTTGAGGTCATACCGTACGCATGGTTGATATTTATGGTGTAATTGACTACTTTTGGATTACATTAGATTTATTATCTGCTAAGCTGATTTCACACCATTTGTATGGTAGGCATTTATGGTAGTGTAATCTGACTACTTTTGGATTACATTTAGATTACCTTTGCACTAACACTAATTTGATGTCACATACAGTATGCATGGTATGGTAGGGACACAATTATCTAGATGTAATCAGAGTACTTTTTGGATTACATTTAGATTAACATTTTTTCTAGCCCTTATTTGACGTCACATATAATAAATAAAATATCTTCATTGTTTATGATCAACAAGAGCCCGTTCAACTTGTGTTTAAAGTGCATAAATAGACAGTTAATACCTCACAATACACATAATGCTTTTAATACGCAGCTCTGTATATATATATATATACATACGAATGAGGCTTTACATGTGTGTGTTTCAGGAATCTGTTCTTCCGCGTGTCGTCGCTCACACTGATGGGTGTGAAGCTGGTGTTTGTCATGGAGGGAGAAGCTCCTAAAATTAAAGCTGAGACCATGAGCAAACGCACCGAGATGAGATTCGGCGGTACGAAAGCCAAGAGCATCCCGAAACCAGTCAAAAACACCAACAGAGGCCGATTCAACGCTGTTCTCAGAGAGGTATGTGTGTTTTTTTCCCTGTGTGTGTATGTAAGGGTCTGTCTTTGTGTGTATGCTCTTTACTGAGCTTATTTCAAGCACTCAATTGCATTTTACATTAAAGGTTATAGCAGCAAGCACATAAATTCAATTTTGCATTAAGGGTTAAAGCAGCGGTCCCAAAACAGAGCCCTGTGGTACACCACAAAACACTTCAAAATAAAAGACTTCCAAAATCAAATGAAATATCATGACAAAGTATATAGATACAACAAAGAAAATCAATTAACATAATTAATCAATACCTACTTTAATATTACAGAAAACTGACTAAATAATTGTGTGTTGTTTTGTGTATATATTTTTTTTTGGGTGTACATGCGTGTGTTAACGCCTTGACTCACTCAGGAAGGCAAAAAGATTTATCAAACACGTAGATTTTTTTTTTTTACAAACACTCACTTGGAAGGTACATCGATAACACAGGAAAGACATGGTGTGACGACAAAGCACAACTGAGAATACCGGATCAAGACTAAACCAAGCTAAGGGGGTATAAATACACAGGACATGATGACTATGATGACACACAGGGAATGAACACAGCTGAAACAGATGAACATAATGAAATGATAGGAACTAGAACAAAAGGGTCGCATGATGAAAACAAACACACATGGGGGAAGATCACATGATGAACACAAGGAACACAGGACCTGACAGCGTGTGCCTGTGTGTGCACGCTTTACACAGCTTATTTCAGACACCTAATTAAATTTTGCATTACAGATTATAGCAGCGGTCCTAAAACCGAGCCCTGTGGGACGCCACAAAGTACTTCAAAATAAAAGTCTTCCAAAATCAAATTAAATACCACAAACATCATGACAAAATATATAGATATAACAAAAAAAAAAAATTAAGTAACAAAATAAACCAATGCCTACTTTAATATAGGATAAAAAATGTTATTACCATTAACAACGAGTATCTTCCCTCATCTGAATGCTGCTGTCGGTGTTTTCGCCTGCAGTGTGCGCAGATGCTGGACTGTCTGGGCGTCCCGTGGGTGACGGCGGCAGGAGAAGCGGAGGCCATGTGTGCGTTCCTGGACTCGCAGGGCCTTGTGGACGGATGCATCACTAATGACGGAGATGCCTTTCTGTATGGTGCTCGCACCGTCTACAGGAACTTCAACATGACCACAAAGGTTCGTTCTGCATGTGAACTGCTGTACATTTACGGATAACTCTGAGACGGGGGTTTTGTGGCATATAGCCGTGTAATAAGCAGGATAATGTACATGCAGGAGGGCAGAATAAACCCTTCAGTCCTCTGCAGCAGCTTCTAATAAACCTGTCAGGCTGGTAAACCGGCTGGATGTGCTTTATCCCTTACACATTGAACAGATCATGTGTGTTCATGCAGGATCCGCAGGTGGACTGCTATCAGTCGAGTCGAGTTCAGGAGGAGCTCGGGCTGTGCAGAGAGACGCTCGTGGGTCTGGCGGTCCTGCTGGGTTGCGATTACATTCCCAAGGTGCAGACAGAGGATCTTCATGAACTGATGCGCGGCTGTTCGGAGTGTTTGGAGTGATAACTCTGTGCTGTGTGTTTGTGCTCCTGCAGGGCATCGCTGGAGTCGGAAGGGAGCAAACGCTTAAGCTCATTCACAGCCTCAGAGGACAGACTCTCCTTCAGAAGTATGAACTATAAGTGCTACAAATATATCAGGAGTAATTGAATTATTTGACAGTAATGCACATCTGAGTGGCTGTTACACCTGGGGTGTGCATATAACATTCAGTGGCCTGGAGTCTATTATTATTGCTTTTCTCCTCCTCCTCTGCTCTCCACTGTTGAGATGTTGTGTTTGTCCTTCTCAAGCGTCTCCTGGGTGTAGCACTAGTGTCCTTCTGTTGTGTTCTGATGTGATTTCTGACTGTTGTAGCTGTGTAATAACTCATAATAATCATTCAGCGGAGGGATATGGAGCTGTAATGCGCTCAAAAGCTGCCGGAACTACTTTATCTGTGCCTTTATCTGACTATAACTAAACACCTTAAAGAGCCCATATTATACATGTAATAGGGCATATCTTGGTTGTAAGGGTCTCCAACAACAGTCTAATATGCATGCAAGGTCAAAAAACACTTTCATGGTCTTATAATCTGCATTTATTTTTAGCTAATTATCCCAGCGACTCCTGTATGAATCGTTCAGTGATTCATTTGTTCCCAAACCTCTCGTTAGCGCAAAGTCAGAGAGTGAAAAGCCAAACAGCTAATCAGCAATATAAAAGTAATCACAGTTCACACACGCTCAATAGTGTAGGCGTGGATTTTAGCTGCCAGTGGGTCAATGTAAATACAGTCGATGGACTTGAAAATTCAGACGACGACACTATTTTATTGAGCAAAAACTCCAAAAACTGTCGAGGAGATCTTCTAGCTTCTCACTCTGCTCTTTTCACAGACACACACACAAACACACATATTGCCCTCGTCCTTGCGCACGCGCACACACACACAAAAACACACACACACCTCCGGACAACAACGCGCGTGCACACACAAACACACACACATACGTCCGGACGACAGCGCACGCACACACACACTACCCTCGTCCACGGAGCTCTGTAAACAAAGCAGCACGCGTCGCGTTTTTAACGTGACTTTGCACGCGATATGAGAATATAGCCAGTTAACCTGATACAGTACACGCGGTTACAAGTAACAAATCACAACTAAATACATTTGCAAGCAAGAGTCAACGAGGCAACAACTTTAATCGCACGTACTTACACTTGAGAAATGGAGGAAGAAACCCATCCTGACGTCCATCAATAAGTTACTCTTTACTGATCCTTCCTTTAACAAACGCAGATGAAGTATTCTTGGTAGCATGTAGTTTGCAGAAGTTTCCAACTGCTTGGTTATAATGCTGATGTTTCATCTTTGGGTAGAGACTCAATATATCCATCTGCAGTGTGACTTCAATCGACCGGCATGTTTGTGTGCGTGTGTTTGTGGGTGTGTGTGTGTGTCTGGGTTTCTGTGTCAGAGGGCGGGGCCTCAGGTTTGAAATCTCCCGGGTTTGCGCGTGCACGTGAATAACTTGGTTTCGTTCGTACGTCATGGCGAAACACCTAATGAATCGGTATCATGGCGACTCGTTTGAAGCACTTTGAGTCGACTCTTTTATAGATGAATCAACCGTTTTAAACACTGTATTCTTACAGATTTAAGCCTTAGCTGGATACTTCACTTCACTTAGAGCTGTGTTACACACTACATGGAAGGGCATTCTCAAAAACCCATAATATGGGCTCTTTAAGGTGACCATCAGCCAATCAGAATCGAGCATTACACTTAAATTAAATAAGCAAATCTAATCAAAACTTAAACTGAAAGCACTATAAATGTACCTCTAAACTGAGAATGAAGCGATCTGTTGGTTTGTGTCCTGCTGAGCCGTGTGTGTGTGTGTGTGTGTGTGTGTGTGTGTGTGTGTGTGTGTGTGTGTGTTTCTGCAGGTTCAGTGAGTGGAGCTCGGGCGCGTCTGGAGACTCAGAGCTGCAGATGAAGAAAGTCACACACTGTCTGGTGTGTCGACACCCGGGTGAGTCTGTTCTGAGATCAGTCACGACACATCACTTTTACTTTCATGCATATACAGGTGAATACAGAATTACTCGCCCTCCCTGTGAATCTTTTAGTCTTTTTTCCTAATATTTGCCAAGTGATGTTTCTCAGATTCAGGAATTTCTCATTGTATTTCCTAAAATATTTTTTCTTCTGAAGAAAGTCTTATTTTTTTATTTTGGCTAGAATAAAAGCAGTTTTAAAAGCATGTTAAGGTCAATATTATTGGCCTCTTCAGCAATATTAGTGTTGGATTGTGTCCAGAATAAACCACTGTTATACAATGACTTGCCTAATTACCCTAACTTTACCCTAATTACCCTAGTGAAGCCTTTACATGTCACTGTGAGCTGAACACTAGTGTCTTGAAGAATATCTAGTCTAATATTATGTGCTGTCATCATGGAGAAGAGGAAACACATCAGTTATTATTAGATGAGTTATTACCACTATTCTGATCAGAGATGTTGAAAATCTTCTCTCTGTTATACAGAAATTGGGGTAGAAATATAAAGGCGGGCTAATAATTCTTCTTCAACTGTGTTTGTGTGTGTTTTCAGGCTCTGCTAAAGCTCACGAGCGCAGCGGGTGTGTTTTCTGTGTGAGCGAGCGCTTCTGTTCACCGCAGGATTACGACTCTCAGTGTCCCTGTGAATGGCATCAGACGCAAGCCTTGCGCCAGGCCTCGTCCCTCGAGAACAACATCAGAAAGTACAGCAACACCGTCAGCTACGGCTGGGACATATGATTTTGGGCCTGTCACCATATCTATCTATTTTTTCCACAGCAAAATATGTTGTGATAAATGATATTAGTGTCATTTTAGGACCATTTCATACCACTCACTATATAATGCCAGAATGACAATATAATATCATCACAGTGCAAGTACAAAGAACACACATCATATTTCATTCTGAAGGATATTTCAGATAATTACAGTCATTTTAACAGTTTAATAATCAGGCACTGGAGTCAGAATGCAAAAACGCATATCCTAAGTAAATAATAATGCATGTTAATCATTGATATATACAGTTGATATCGCATAGTGACCCTGAGCATGCGTCAGTAGCGCCGCCATATTGATACAGTGCTCCCAGGACAAGTGTCATTCAACCGCACTAGTCAAGACAGTGTTATTATACTGGACTTTAGCGCTGTCTACGGGTGTAGTAACGAGCAAAGCAAAGGCAGAACATTTCATAGATAAGATTTTACGTTTTTGTATGTTCTGAACTTTTGTGCTAATCAGGTATCGTTATTGATGATCATACAGTCACTTACTATGGAAGGTAAATCCTGCCAATTTTAGATAAATCAACATTAGAAATGAACTCGATGTCACTTGAATACGCCCCTCCCACTGATTAGCATAGGCTTTGCATACAGCTTTAAGTTGAAAATGAAAACTGAAATGAAAAAGTGTCAATAAAAGGAAAGCTTAAATTTACATTTTCATTTGAATTGTGTCACTATTATAGCGTGAACATTGATAACACGCTTTGTAAAAATTGTGTTTGCATTTTATTTTTCAGTTTGGCTTTTTATTTTTAATATTGGCAGTCTTGACGTGGAAATGCAGTGTAAATGAAATGTTAAATTGGCAACTTCATTTTAATTATCAATTTGACAGGGACGATGTGTTGTCAAAGTGGAAATTTAAATGAAATAATTTCATTTAGTTTTCAATTTTGGCAGATATTTTGCGCACAGTGTTTTAAAATGAAATTGTTAATCTGATTTTCATTTTCATTTCCAATCTTTATTTGATTTATTTAAAATTGGCAGGATTTACCTTCCATAACTTACTGCATTCATCATAAAGCAAAGCAGCTCCAACTCACACTAAACACTCGGCTTATGCTAGTTTGGTTGAATACAATCAGCAAACAATGCTAAAGAAATATGACAACGAGATTTCAAAGGAGCGCTACCCTGTTCCAAGATGGCGGCTCTATTGACGCATTCCTTCCAATAGACAACAACAGAGTAGGCGACATCTAATGTATATATCTATGCATGTTAACAAGCTAAAGAGTAACAGAGGCTGCAATATCTGCTGCCAGATCTATTTTCAGCTGTCAGACACCGACATGAGGATATACTATAGTCATTAATAGGAAATACTACAGTGTGTTGTTTAACCATACTGACTCTCTCAATAGAGATCTAGATGTTGAGCAATCAGCTCAAATGTTGCTCGATTTGATGTTTATGTGTGGACGATATTTACTAGAAACAACTGAGCTCATGTCCATGTGTTGTGCATGTGTACATATAGACTTACAGACTTATTTATTTTGTCCATATAATGTATACACACACACACACACACACACACACACATACTGCACTGAGTGTGAGTGTAGCGGAGTGTGATTTGTGTGTGTCTGATCATGTCTGCAGGAGGACTCTGGCCTCGGAGCACTTCCCCTTCACACACGTGAGTCCTGACCGCTGTTTATATCCGCTTGTTGTCTTGATTTTGTCTTCAGTTGTCTTGTTTCTGTGTGTTCTGCTGCTTCAGATCATCAATGAGTTCCTGCTGACCAAGGACAAACCCGTTCAGGCCTTCAGGAGGAGGAAACCAAACCTGCTGCTCATGCAGGTACTGTGTGTGTGTGTGTGTGTGTGTGTGTGTGTGTGTCTTTGTTTAAATGTGTGTGTTTTATGTTTGATGTTTGCGTCTGTATGTGTGTGTGTGTGTGTGTGTTTATGTGTGTGTCGGGTTTATCTGTGTGCCTGTATGATATACATGTGTGTGTGTGTGTGTGTCTTTGTTTATG